AGAGATGCAAAACAGCGCTGTGGCTGTGTTTGGAATGATTTTTGTTGGAGAAATAGAGCAAAAACAGGAAATATGGCTTCTAAAACATAAGTCTCTTAATAATAACTTCTTGTTTATTGAACTGTTGTAAGAAATCAATATCACATTTGTAATCATGCTGACTTTTGGAGAAAAAAAACGCACTCTTCGTGTGATATTAACTATATGAAAAGATACAACTATATACATTTTCTGCCCCATATCTTGAATTATGTGATAATTCTAAATGCATTTTAATAGACTGATTAATGCAGTGAAAGAACGCACTATAAATGTGCACGCGCACTCACTAGTCTAACCTGCTAGATAGACTTCAGGTAATGTAGGCGCGCATTCTGTAGGTGTTTTGTTTGCTTTTCGCGATATTCTCGATAATATCAAGTCGCACATCCTTAAAACAACAGACCATACATATCGCACACCCCTATACTGTTTAGATTTTTAGAATGCATTGTTTTCTTATCGATCCACCAGTTCACATTTAAAGCTCTGCGTGTTTGCAGGGAAAAACATGGGTCGATTTTCGCATCGGTCTGAACTCTGAACAAAACAACAGTTTTATTGAAAATGCTCATTCTCTGCCAACAGGTGGAGTGTTTGGTAGAAATATAACTGTTTCCCCGGTAATGGCAGAACACAAAGCAGCGCAGCACCGGACTTTGAACATGCAGCACTCGTGTTTATTCAATGAAATCATAGCCTTTTGAAGTTTAATCATCACATTCAGCCATATCGCAATTCTGGTCTTTCCGTCCCCAAATTTAAGACCTCTTGAAATCATAATTAAAACTTTCTTGTACAATTTAAGACTTTTTAAGGTCTTAAATTTGATACAACTAAATTTAAGACTTTAAGACCCGCGGAAACCCTGATTAATATTGGACAGTATTAAACATTTTTCAGCATCAGTCAACAATGGATATTTAATAATTCACAATGATTTCTACAATTTTTATAATTAGATTTCCTTTGACGTCTTCTAATTCTCATATATAGTTAATATTTAAAAACACTTGTTCATTCTGTACATTATATTTCTTCATGAAAGAAACTAATTATCAGCTTATACACAACCTTTCAAAGGTTTGTGGTCAGTAAGATTTTTTTTATTTTTTTTTATTAATATTTTTATTCAGGAAGGATGCATTAAATTGATCAAAAGTGACAAAAGACATTTAAAATCATTCTCTTCACAAAACAATTGGCCAAAGCAAATGCGTCTAATAAAATTAAGACTTTAATATTCTCATGTGAATATGTAACGAGTATTAGTTTGTTAAAGAGCCTACATTACCTGTGTGTTCCAGATATGGACACACTTGTCGAAGGAACCGCTGGCCAGGTGCCGCCCATCTGAGCTGAATGCCACGCTGTAGACGGGCTCCTGGTGTTTGGTCAGTGTGTGGATGCAGGCACCACGCTCCGCGTCCCACAGACGCACCGTTGAATCAAACGACGCACTTAAGGCAGAAAATAAGAAAACAGTTACTAAATGTGTATAATATATATAAGTTCTAAACTGAAAATAGATACAGATTTTAAATTTAGCCAATCAATCAAAATTATATTTAAAAAGGAAGGCTTTCCAAATGAAGAGTGATGGTGATGATATATATGATCATATTACCCCAATTCTACAGTCTCTGCACTGGCTACCTATTAAGTTCCGTATCAGTTACAAAATATTATTACTTCCCTACAAGGCCCTTAATGGTTTAGCTCCTGCGTACCTAACTAGCCTTCTACCACGCTACAATCCATCACGCTCCCTAAGGTCGCAAAACTCTGGACTTTTGGTAGTACCTAGGATAGCAAAGTCCCCTAAAGGAGGTAGAGCTTTTTCGCATTTGGCTCCCAAACTCTGGAATAGCCTTCCTGATAACGTTCGGGGTTCAGACACACTCTCTCTGTTTAAATCTAGATTAAAGACACATTTCTTTGGCCAAGCATTCAAATAATGCATCTCATAATCTTGTACTGCAGTTATATCTGATCAAATGCACATTATTATTCCTTAGCTTGGGTTGAACAAATCATTTTTGCTTGGTTGGAACAGCAGCTACGCTAATTATGTCTCTATTTGTTTCTGCCACAGGATTGACATCACGTGGTAACTAGGAATTACACAAGCTTCAGTCTGGATCCAGAACACCTGAGAAGAGATGATGCAAATCCCTCAGAGGACCTCAGAGGACCTGCCAACCCTGAAACAACATAAACTACCAAATTTTGCTACAAGTTTGATTGCAACATATAATCATTGCTGTTAATAGTGTTCATTGTCCGTTTGATTACGTCATTAACTGAATTGTACCGTACATTTCTGCCATATGTACATCAATTTGACAGTCTCACCACTGATAAGCTACTACTAAATAT